ATGGGGTGGGGGAGCCCCCATCACACACAGACGGGCACATTTTATATATTTCCTGGTATGACAGAAAGCCAGTTAATTTGATGATGACTGCCCACACTGCTGAGACTTTCAGAAAAGTATGGTTAAAATGACATGAAGATCATACCAGGATTGTGTACAAGCCTTGTGCTGTACAGGCCTACTCTCAGCACATGTGGAGAAAAGACAGAGAGAAACCATGCCATATTGCTAAGAAATCTGTTAAGTGGTGGTGGGGGGGTTATTTACTTGAACTCTGCTTCTGCAATGCTCTGGTCCTCTGGAAAGCAGTCGGCTTGCCAAATCAATGCTGAAAAGTTCAGGCTGAGCATTGCAACATTATTTTGATGGAAGATAAATGGTAGGTGTGTAAACAGGAGAGGTAGAACTGAAGACCCCAAAAAAGCTGGTGTTAACACAACACAACACAACCTTGTGATCAAGTAGATGCCTGAAATTGAGGCCATCTCATCCAGATTGTTGTTTGTTCAAACAGAGAGAAGAGCCCACAAGACTCCAGTTTCATGTGCAGAAAGTGTGATGTGCTGATGGTGCCCATACCCTCTGCTTCCAGAGGTTCCAAAGTCTGATAGACGTTTTGTAGACTGCACCCCCAGAACTCCATAAGGCAATAAATGTTAAAGTGATGTGAATTATTAATGTATTTGTTTTAATTTTTTTTTTTTTTTTTTTTTTTTTTTGATTAAAAAAAAAAAATGCATGCAAAATGTAATGCATTACATAATGCATTACATCAAAATATTCCTCATCCATTCTTTTATTAATGTATAAAAAATGAAATATATACACACAATACAAAGACAGTTATAACAATTTTAGCACAATAGGTGCTCATGTATTTTGTGACATCAAAAAGAATTCAGTGGCAGTGGGGAACAATTCTCCAAGGAACTTGGTGTGGTAACAGTTAAATAACTGGAAAAACTGTTTTTGAAATGTTCACAGGAAGCAAGCATAACATTGCCAATATGCACACATTTGGCATAATTTTTAATGCGTATATACAACATAGAAATTGTACACTAAGGATAAAAAATGGAATTTTCATAGGCTATGATGAATCAATTCCTACCCACTTAACATGTATACCTGAAACTACTTGTACATCAAGAGTCAGGTGTGTAAAATTTACTGAAAACTTTGAAAATCCTACTACATCTAACAATTTTTTACTTCCAGTTGAAGAAAATGATGCAATACTTCTCAACTATTTGCAGAAAAATCATCATGAGGAGAAAAAAAAACAAAACAGTCAAACTATACACTCAACAAGTCCAAGCAATAATATAGGAGATAATCCTAGTACAGAAATACCCAAGCAGGTTATAAAAAAAATGCCTGAATATTTAAAAGATTGTTAACAATTTGGACAACATCCAACTATAGATAAAATATTTGGTAAAATATATGCCCAATACTTATATTGAAGCTATTACTTCAAATGACTCTATAAAGTCACTTGATGCCATGGAAAAAGAAATAAATGCTCTAAAAACAAACAATACATATGAATTGGCTAAACTTCCAACTGGTAAAACTTGTTGGATCTACACTATTAAAACTAATAACACTAGTAATGAACAGTTCAAAGCTAGGTTTGTCGCAAAAAGCTGGAATAGATTATCATGAACCTTTCATCCCCCCCACACACTTTTATGTTTATTGTAAGGACTTTAATGCAATTAGCTATTCAACATAGTTTATTTGCTCACCAAATGAATGTAAAAATGGCATACTTAAATACACTGACTGCAAGGTATACATCCAACAACCTAAGGGTTAATGACAAACTTGTATGGCAAGCAAGAAAAAAAGTCATTATACCAACTTAATGGGTGAAATTGGAATCAAGTTTTACACATATTTAATTGTTCAAGGTTTCTCTTGATCCTTGGCAGATCCTTGCATTTACACAAAGAACACTTCAATACTGATTATGATTGTTTGAGTTGATGATATACTCATTGCTTCAAATTGTAATTAATGTAAAAACACGTTTAAATGAACAATTCAAAATGACTGATCTTGGAAAGTGTTCTTTCTTTCTGGTTAAATGACATTTAAAAATAACTCCATAGAGATGACTCAAACGAAATATATTGAAAAGATTCTAACCAAATTTGAAATGCAAGGTTGTAAACCTTGATCAGCGCCTTGTGAAATGGATATCAATCTACTGTACAAAATCAATGCTGAACCAGCAGACAGAAAATATTAATGAGATAGTTGGAAGCCTGGTATACATTATGACTACCACTTGTCCAGAAATGTTACATAGTAATGAAATTGTTGCAATATTCTATGAATCCAACCCTAAACCACTTGATAAGAGCCAAACATTTCTTATGCTATTTGAAAGGTACAAAAACACATGTTTAGCATTTAATAAACCTAGTAAGCCCCTAACAGGCTTTTGTGACACTGATTGGGGAAATTTAAGACTGCTGCAGTATTATAGGGTACAGTTTCCAGTTATTACCAAACAGTTCAATGATTTCATGGAAAATGAGTAAGCAACCTACAGTGGCATTGTCAACATGTGAAGCTGAGTACATGGCGTTGGCGGATGAAATACAAGAAACAAAATTCTTTATTCAATTATTAAATGCTATGATGAATGCAACTAAAAGTGAGCAAGCCACTATCTATTGTGATAATTAAAGTACCATAGCCCTTCCTAAGAACTCTGTCCACCATCAATGGTCAAAGCATAAAGTATGACTTCATAAGCATTGATATTCAAAATGGTACAATGAAATGGAACTATTATTTCATCAGAAGAAACTGTTGCCGATTTGTTTACTAAACCTATTGGCAGAGTAAAATTGAATAAATTCTTTACTGCTCTAAATGGAGTGCTATACCCAGTGGGCCCAAGGGTGATAATTTTTCTGCTAAAATGGCTATTAAAAAATATACAAAGTTATATTTTATGGAAACTAGTTAAAATTTATGAGTTTGTGCAAAAAATCAGCTCAATATGTTGTCTAGAACTAGTTATAGCAATTTCAATGTTGTGAATTTACAAAAAATTTAGATATACACCATTTTCCATAGAATTTAATGAAAAATCAGTATTTTGGGGAACTGGCCAGTAAAATGCAATCTTTATTCAAATCCTTGTGCCTAAATCCTATTTTCTGTATCATATCTATCACATAGACACATAAAAATCTTATTTGAACAGATTTTGCCACCTCACTGACTATACTCTAGAAGAACCATCCGGGGTGGGGTCAAAGATGACAATATTTTAGGAAAAATTCAGCTGAAAATTGCACTTCTTCCTCAAATTACACCAGAAAGATGGCCTCCTGACATGGCTGAAGTATATATTTTCTGATTCGTGAACAGTTGGCAGAAGCAAAAGGGAAAAGAAATGGCTAGGATCCAATTTCAAAATTTTTGGAATTTTAAACATTTTCCCAATTTGGATCAATGGTCTTTTCAAGGTAATCCATGAAGTAAGTTTATTTGATTATATCTATATAATCACACAAAACTTATTTAAACATATTTCAGTCCCTTGCTGACCCATGGACCCTAGAAGGACCTTCCGGTGATCAAAAAATGGCAATATTTTAGAGGAATATGACTGAATATTACACTTCATTCAGAAATCAAATCATCAAATTGTTATGCAAGGAAAAAATCCTCAAGTCCATCTATCTTAAAGTAATAAGCATCATGAGTTCAAACTGTATGATCTGTTGCTTTGCAAATCATACACAATTTTGTCCCAATGTATTTTGATGTGACATGAATAAGATAAGGGTTGGATCTCTCCAACAATCTATGAACATCTTCAATTTGATTGTTGTGGCATTTCCTTTGATTACACATGACATGCTAAAATCATCATCACCAACACTAATTGATAAACCAATATTAAATCATTCCAAGCATGATCAGTTTATTTGGCCATGAAGTTAAGGAGGTCAAGATTATTTTCTACTTCTCTAATCAAATACACTGGTCTCAATAATCGTGCAGAATTGGGTAATTTGTTCTGCCATAAAATCTCTTCTTTGCCACCAACATTCCATGTAAGTTTCAGAGGAATGATACCATACTGAAATATGTGGTTTTTGTCATTGTCGTCACCATTCTCAACTCTCTTTTTCAATTTGAGCCCTGACACTGTACCAGCACCATCACCATCATCTTTCAAGTACATGGTCAAAACTCTTGATATAGAGTTCTGATAGTTTTACCTATTATCAATGGTTCTGCCTGTACAAATATTGATCATTTTGCAAGAATCTACTTGTCAGCATGGTTGTAATTTGTTAAATGTCTGATCCTCTGTGATATGATTCTACTTTAACTACTTAAGATATTAAAAATACCCTTTCTTTTATAAGACTATTTAATTGGGTTATATCACATTTGTTAACAGGCTAAGGAAAAGAAAATACAATCGTTACATGGTCATTCAGTTGACTAGGTGTATCTGTTGATTGACATGGCATTACTCACTCCCCCTCTCCCAATATTTTTATCACCAGGGCATCTTGTGAGTATTTGGGAACCATCTTTAACAACAGTATTTTCTCCATTTCGCCATTTCAAAAGACTTAGTGTTTGTTTTTTCCTTTGTGCAAATGCTAAAGGAATTTTGTAAAACACTGGTAATTGTCATAATTTCTTATTGTTTCTAACATTTTTTTTTTTTTTTTTTTTTGATCAAGAATTTAAAGATAAGTTCATGTTTTTCATAGATATTTTTTTATAGGTTAGCATATTTTAAGATTTAAAAATAAACACTAAATAAGAATAAACATAATTTCTCTGCTACAAAATAATCTATATCCAGTAAAAATATATGACTACACTTGATGGGAGTGATGTTTCTTATCACTAATTTACAATTTCATCAGTACAGAAGTTGATGTGCTGTAAAACAAGAAAAAAATGAACCAATTTCATCAGGAAATGTTCTAATTATTTTGTCTTTTCAGGTCCCTATGCTTCTAGTGGGTAACAAGTGTGACTTGGAAGATGAAAGAGTTGTAGGAAAGGACCAAGGCACTAATCTGGCCAGACAGTTTAATTGTGGCTTTTTGGAAACTTCAGCCAAGTCAAAAATCAATGTTAACGAGGTATGTACTTTTCAACTAATCCAACATCTATCATAATGTGGCATTGATTAACTTTAACTGTTGACAAGGCTAAATTTGTATAAAATGTTTTCTACTATGCAATGTAATTGTTGCTGTAAAGAACTCTGTATGCTTCAAAATTTCTGTATAGGAATAAAAAATTAATCTACAGAATACTTGAGTAGTGTTTGCTCTCCTACCTTTTTTTTTTTTTTTTGTTTGTTGGAAATTTTTGCTAAAGCTTTACATACAAGATTAGTGTAGGTACCTCTAAAAATTCTGTATACCTAATGTTTAAATGTATTTTTCATAAAGGTAAAATCCGTTTTGAAACTATAAAGTGAAATCTCGAATGTTTTTACTGTGACTAGGGCATTGTTACTTATCTTTCCAATATACATTTTTTTTTATTTATACTCACAAATTTTTACATTGTGGAAAACAGTATGGATAAGTAATGCCAAATTGGGGTAGGAAAATTGTATTGCACTAATCTTCCAAGGAGGAATACTGAGCTACTTCAGAAAACAAATCAGCATTTGAAATTTTGCCAGTTTTTCTGGACTTAAACACTGACTGCAAGTGCAGATATAGGTTATTTTAACAATGCAGGCCCAGTGGTAAGGCACTGTTCCCTTATTAGTTCAATAATGATATATTTGTTTTGACAATGGCTGTTGAAATTAATTTTCTTGCAGAGCACATCTGATTTCTTTCAATTGTAAAATATACTTGAATTAACTATTTTTTTTATATAAACTGCTTTACCACAAATATATATTAAGGTATTCATTAAAAGCTAATTTTCATCTTAACAAACTTTATTCTTTTTTTTTTTTTTTTTGCTTTTTAAATATTAATATGAATTGTATTTCTGTTCTGAGATTGTACTTCAATACTTTGTCATTCTCAATTTTTTGTTTCTTTTTGCCTTTTGCTTAGATATTCCATGATTTGGTTCGGCTAATCAACAAGAAAAATCCAGAAAGAAAAGACAAGGGCCGGAAGAAATCTAATGCTAGCTGCATACTCCTGTAAATTTTAAATCCATATCCAAGTAAGTGTTTTATTTCAACTTTGGATTTCCCATGGTAATTTGATTTAATTGCTAAAATTTAGCTGGTTGGTTAGGATTCCTTTCTATTGACCATTTATTAGTAAAGACTTTTGAACTTCATCTGTGAATATTACAGCTTTAAAGTAGAAACCATATTAAAGTTTCTTGACCCAGTTAGTCATACTATCTTAATGATGTCTCAATGTGCTTATCGGGTAAATATTATAAACATTCTCCTTCGTAAAGGAAAGATTGATGCAGTATCCTGTTCTTTCATTTAAAACCAAACTGGTGGTTGGGAGTACAAAAGCTTGTAATATAAACTTTTGTCAATGAGGCAACTTTTTTTTTTTTTTTTTTTTTTTTTGTGTGTGTGTACAAATTCTTTCTGAATCATTAAAGTTATTACGGGGGCTGTGTTAGAAAGTTTCATAATTTTAAAAATTTGACCATGAGTTACTTTATTCATTTTGCTCAAATAAAAGGTTTTTATGCTGAAGCAATGCATGACTATCATGAGTGGGCTGCAATGAATAAATCCTGTTTTCTGACTTTACTCAACGGATTAATTTTTAACTTTCAATTACTCCAGCAGAAAATATATAATGGACTATCCCATCGAGTTCAACATATGAGGTTCCAATGACCACCTAATAATTATCTGCATGCCTATAACAGGCATGACTGGCTTGAGACTACGAAAGACCTGGCATTACAGGAGAAA